CCCCAATAAAAAAAACTCCCAAAAAAAAAAAAAAAAAAAAAAAAAAGGATAGTTTTCTGGAAAAGTAGAAAGGGTTTATGTTAGCCTAGATAGGTGATGGCAGACTGGCCTGTGAACCATGTCTGCCTGCTGTCTGCTTGTACAGCCTGTGAATGAAGAATGATCTTTACATTTTTAAATGGTTAGGGGGAAAAATGGTATTTTGAAGAAAATTTTTATGTTTTTGCCACAGGGTATGTGTTTGCCAGAGACAGAGATGGAAAGTGAGAAATCACCCCTCAAGGGGGATGGCCATTAACACAATCCTCCATTCTCCTCTTGGGAGTTTGGGCACGCATGCACATGTATCTAGTGTGATTGTCAAGCTGCCAAATCTGAGACTCGACTCACAGCCCGCCATGTGGGAGTCCAGCACCTTAAAGCACCACCTGCTGCCCCCCAAAATGGTATTTTGTGATACGTAAAACTATAGGAAATTCAAACTTCAGGGTCTCTAAAATCACATTGAAACATAGCCATGGTCATTTCTTTAGCTTTTGTGGGCTACGACCACAGAGTTGCATATTTGAGAGAAATTGTATGGCCCACAAAAAATCTGTTTCCACTCTTGCCTTTTACAATAGAAAAAGGGCCCATGGTCTAGATAAATCCTGAGTGGTGGTTATAAATTTCATGTGAAACACGCAGTCTAAAATATATGGTTGTATGATTTTTTTTCACCTTGCCTACTGTTTTTAGTTTGGGTACTGTCAGTATAAAGGGCAGTTTAATTTAGAACGGGGCCAGCAGTTAACGTAATGCCTATGTGGCTGGACTCCCATGTAGTCTACCACGGTTCGAGTCCCGGACATGGTGGCTTAGACTCCCGCGGGTCGCGTGTGCGTCCGTGCCCAAGATCCGGAGAGGAGAATGGAGGAGAAGGGATTGCGGCGTGGCCATCCCCCCTGGGGGGTGATTTCTCGCTTTCTGCCTCTCTGTCTTTCTCCGTCTTTTTGGCAAGCGCATGTGCTCTAGAGCAAAAACCTCTCCAAAGGGGGAAAAATTTTAGAGCGAATCAGCAGATTGTGTCTGTGAGATTTGTCTTGTTGGGGCTTTGGCAGCAAAAGGTTCAAGGAATAATCTTGTGAGTTCCATGGCCAGTAGTAGATTGCTGTCAGTTTTACTTGCAAAATTTCAAAATATCGAATCGATCAGATTTCCTTGGCCCCTATTATCTCGGGTCAGAGGCTGAAGGTCTACATCCGGGCAGATGCTGAGCTGACAGGTCCTAACAGGGCTTAGGCAAGTCTAGCCACGTCAGCTCTCATTTCTATCCCTTTCCTTCGGCCCAGCTACAAAGACTAAGCTCGCAGGGCCCCACCCTCTTCTCGCATATCCCTGTGACGCTGCATTCCTGTCACTCTCTGGGCTCGTCTGGGGGACAACTGCTCCCTCTGCGTCCCACAGGTTGGATGAACTAAGGAGGGCGGAGGAAGGAGGGATCAGCTTTAGTAGCCAATCAGGATGCGGCCCGAGCCCTGCCAATCGGGTCGGGTCAGTTGGGGCTTAGCCAATCCGGCTAGAAGAGGAAGCCCGAGTCGGCGCTTGCGCCTCTCGCTTCCAGCTGTGGGTGGCGCTGCGCGGTTCGGCCCGACCTGGTAGAGTCCTCACTTTCTACCTCCGCTGTCAGAGTCGCTCCGGGTCCCCTGCCCGGAGGCCATGGGGAGGCAGTGGGGGCCTGCCATGAGGGCAGCCGAGCAGACAGGCTGCGTAGTGAGTGCCTCCCGGGCTGGGCACCCCGAGGCGGGCTCCTGGAGCTGCAGCGGAGTTATCCTGAGCTGTAACCCTGGCCTGGTGCTGTGCCACGGCGGGATCTTCACTCCCTTCCTGCGGGCCGGCAGCGAGGCCCTGACCGCGGCAGCCGCCGCCATCCTGCCTGGCGATAGTTGCGGCGACGACCTGCGCCTGCACGTGCAGTGGGGCCCAACGGTCGCGAGTCCGGCGGCTTGCGCGGAGCTGGGCCGCCCGGGACTGTGCACCCCGCAGTGCGCCAGCCTTGAGCCGGGCCCGCCGGACCCACCGGTTCGGCCCCTCGGGCGGCCTCTACAACCTCCGCGGCCCGCCGAGCTGCTGCTGTTGCTGAGCTGTCCAGCCTTCCGGGCCCACTTCGCGCGCCTCTTCGGAGGCGAGGCGGCGGAGCAGTGGCGCTTCGCGAGCGCAGCGCTGGACGACGAGGTGTCGGAGGATGACGAGGAGGATCAGCTGAGAGCGCTGGGCTGGTTCGCGCTGCTGCGCGTGCAGCCGGATCAGGAGGCGGCGGAGGAGCGCGGGCCGGCGCTGGCGGGGGCGTCTCTGGGGGCGGTTCCCAAGGGCGCGCCGCTGCTGGCCTGTGGCTCCCCTTTTGGAGCCTTCTGCCCGGACATCTTTCTCAACACGCTGAGTCGTGGGGTACTCAGCAACGCCGCCGGCCCTCTGCTGCTCACCGACGCGCGCTGCCTGCCGGGCACCGAGGGCGGCGGCGTGTTCGCGGCGCGACCCGCGGGGGCGCTCGTGGCGTTCGTGGCGGCGCCGCTCTGCTGGAAGGCTCGCGAGTGGGTGGGACTGACTCTGCTCTGCGCAGCCGCCCCGGTGCTCCGCGTCGCCCGCGCCGCCCTCGGCAACCTGTACCCCAGCGCCGCTGCGCGTCTGCCGTCTGAGGTGGGCGTCCCGCGAGATGTGCCTCTCAGGGACCCCGGACCCTTGTGGGCCGCCGCTGCTGTGCTGGTGGAGTGCAGCACCGTATGGGGCTCCGGAGTGGCCGTGGCGCCCCGCCTCGTTGTGACTTGTCGGCACGTGGCCCCTCGGGAGACGACCAGGGTCGTCGTGCGCTATTTCACCCCCAAGTAAGGCTCACCCACTCGACAGCTCCTCCCTCTCTCTCAGCAAGCCCCTTCTCCCGCCCACGACTGCACAGGCCTTTCTTCTGGGTGTGCAATATGGTAGAGACCCGGGACACCCCCCCCCCCCCTTCCCTCCTCCTCCTCCTCGCCCAGCGTCCCAGTGAGAGCAATCTGGGATTGTGGGACTGTGCACCATCCAGTACTGGGCATCTTTGAACTCCCCCTCAGTCTGAATTCCTTCTGGACTCTTGTCTGCCACAGCCCTGTGCCCCACAACCCACTAGGCCCTTTGAGCAGAGCTTCCCTAACCCTGCCCACCTGTCCCCTAAAGGTGAGGAAGTCCCACCAGCCCAGGCTGGGGGCCCCTCTGGGGTAATGAGATGCACCTATTAGTCTTACTCTTTTTGCCTCAGAGTGTAGCTAGAGCTTTCTCTCTGGATGAAAATACTTTTGTGGAGTTCTCCCTAATTAGGATGTAGGAGTGGTATACACTCTGAACAAACTGGGTCATCCTGGCAGTCGGCCGGGTTGGCACTTCAGCCAGCCACTTGTTCCATCTGCGGGAAGAAGCACCGTTCTGAGAAGCACCTCCTTCGCTTGCTCTGATAGTGGGTCAGCTGCTTTGGCCTCCTGGCTTGGTTTTCTAATCGGTGTTATTTCTCTTTC